CATTTATACTACCGTTATACAACAGAAGGCTGGAGAAGATATATCATCACTACGAGCGCTCTCTTAGTTCTAATTTCTGAATTTAATTGTTTCTCAATCTATATCAAAACAACCGGATTTAAGCAATACCTATTCCTTTCTACCTCTTCCTTCTTTCCCCCCAGCACTCTTGAGCTACTCCTTAGTGTTGCTGGTCCCCCGTAGACACTGAATGCTTGATCATTATTATGATACAACCTAAGCAAGTAACACTGCCATCCCCTGGGGTTACCTGACCCATCAAGGAATGAACTTGGGAATGCACAGCAGACCTCCGTCATTAAGTAGCATAGATGAGATCAATGAATAGCTCTTAAAGGCACAAACAAGTTGCATGCCAAGTGGTTCAGACTCAGAAAACGTCTTTTCTGAACACACTGACACATCTCTCTCAACTCACACCAATGGCTTGATGGGGAGTTCCCAATGACCCACTGAGAAAGATACAATTCAGAATGGTTTCTAGACAGCTATGCATTACATGATGACACTACTCAGAGGTGGGCCTGAACGACAGTGGGGCTGGGAAGAACTTCAAGCATTATACCTGAAAAAAAGAGAGAACTGGAGGTGTGATTTAGACTGGCTATGGGCAATGGCTAAGAATTTGGCTGGAAGGTTAAGGACACTGAAGGAACAAGATAGGAAAAATGCTGACAGCAAGGTCCGGGAAAGTGGTATGTAGACAGGCTTCTCCAAATAATTAGAGAATGTGCCCATATGAATGCTCATGAAAGGGCATCTGCTACAGACAGACTCTAAAGTATTAGATGGACAAGGTGATTCTCTCTGTGAATGTCACTCAGCTTCTTTTTGTGGCCTCCCAGTCCTTGCTCAATGGGCTCAAGGACACATACCTTTATCTCACCAAGGTTAATCTCACTACGGCCACCACTGAGAACCTGAGAATCTGGGATATGGCATCATTCCCCAGGAGAACAGTTAGCCACCTAACTGATAATTCCCCTTCCGTTATGGAACCAGGCAGCAATTTTTCCTTATCACAATAGATTCTTGTTTTTGTTTTTTGAGTTGGAGTCTCACTCTGTCTCCCAGACTGGAGTTCAGTGGCTGCTCTCGGCCACCGCAGCCTCGACCTGCTGGGCTCTGGCGATCCTTCCGACTCAGCCTTCCAAGTAGCTGGAACTACAGGCGTGGGCTACCATGCCCGGTAATTTTTTTTTTTTTTATTGTAGAGATGAGGACTCACCAAGTTGCCCAGGCAGGTTTCGAACCCGCAGGCTCAGGCAATTCACTCACCTCAGCCTCCCAAAGCACGGGATTACAGGCTGAGCCACCAAGCCTGGCTCGCAATAGATTCTTACTCTACATATGAATTCACCTTTCCTGCCAGCAGTGCTTCTGTAAATCTAAAATACCATTTAGATTTACAGAATGTCTCATTCTTGTCATAGTATCACACAGCATCACTTCTGACTAAAAACCTAAATTTGCAGGCAAAATAATGAGACAATGGACGTCCAGAGAATTCACTGGTTCATGTATTCCTTCATTCCAAAACAGCTTACCTGTGTGAACTGGCCTTTTGAAGATTCATTTATGGCTCCTGCTAGGTGACACTTTGTTGGACTGGGGTAATGTTTTTCAGGTTAAAATATATTTCAACATATAGTGCTATTTTCCCCATAGGAAGAATACGCAGGTCTAGGAACCAAAGACAGTGGCTCTTCTCACTACGTATTAATTTTTTAATTAATAGCAGGAACTACAGGCACACGCTACCACGTCTGGCTAATTTTTTATTTATTGTAGAGATGAGGTCCCGCCAAGTTGCCTGAGCGGGTCTCAAACCTGCAGGCTCAGACAATCCACTCGCCTCGGTCTCCCAAAGCGCTGGGATTACAAGCTGAGCCACCAAGCCCAGCCGGTTTTTTTATTCCCAAAGAAAGTCTGCTTCCATCGAAGAACACAGGGATTCCACAGAACAGATAAAATTCATGAAAACACTTTTAGATCAAGAAATTCACAGCCATCATTTTCTTTGTCATTGGTTTCTTTTTAATTTTAAGTGCAATAATAAAATTCTACTCACATACCTCAACATCCAAAATAAATACTGCCTATTTGAAGAATATATTAGAACTTCATAGTCATAGCTTTGACAATTCACCAATAATCCAAACGTCCACAATATATACTTTACTTGCCTTGTAGTAATTAGTTTTCCTTCTGGAAAATGGTCTTCAAATGACATAAAGCTTTAGTGAATGCAGAAAGGCATTTAAATTGTGGCAAGGTGCACAGCACCACAGAACCTTCTAAAGAATTATCGTTCAAGAAAGTACTAGAGTCTGAACAAGCATTTCTATATTGTCAAACTTGGAGATTCCTAAAGATGTCTGGATGTATTTGTATTTTACACTGTTACTTAGCCCCAGACAACTCTAACTACTTTTGGGAGAAGTAATGAAAATTAGCAATTCTAATCCAAGCTATTTTTGGAATAGAAGAGTCAGGAGACAATTCTTCTTTCATCCTGAAATTATTTTAAAACACATAAAATTAAAATTGTAAATATTAATATGTTTCTATTCCTAAACAAAGATTTAGTTTTTAATTATTATAATGAACATTTCACTTTGACAGCCAAGCTGGCACTCAAAATACTGAATTCAGCAAATGGAAAGGACTACACATAGCCAAGTAAAAAGAAAAGTAGTAATTTTAATCAAGGCACTTAAATAGGTGAGTGGAGCCCACCACTGCACAACATATATAAATGGAAAGGCTCATAGAACTAATTTTTTTAAGTGAATGGAAATACATATTCTATGTTGACTTGATAATGAAGAGGATCTGAACAATGAGCACTTACTACGCCAGGCATTGTTCTAAGTATTAACTAATTAAGCCTCAAAATGATCCCATGAGGAGTTTATTATTCATACCTCTGTTTTATAAATAAACAAAGAGAGAGGCAAGAGAAGTTAGGTAACTTGTCAGCTGAGGTCATATAGCTAGAAAGTGCCAAACGAGGACTCAGAACCCGGTCTGTGTGGCCTGAATTAGCCTCTCATCCACTGTACAGTGTAGACTGCAAACCAAGGGCTGAGACTAGGATGAAGTAAGTGAGACATTATCTTGAGTGTAAAATAGAAGAAGGCACCAAAAATCCCTCAGTGATCAGATATTTTGACACAATATATTTAAAAATTACAACTAAAATTCTACAATAAACAAAATATCAGCTTTTTAAATAAAGACAGTATAAGCATTAGCAATTTTTTCCTTGTGCCTTAGGCTCCTATATACATATGGCTTGGCATTGTTATATGTCCCATTTTTATTTGAAATTTTGTGCCTAAGGTAAGGGTCTCCACACCTCACTCACTTCACTCTAGCCTGGTCCCTACTACATCCCCAAATAAAGCCCAAATCAAATTTTTCCTTTAAGTTAATTTTATCAGAGTAGCAACTATCTGAACTGCCAATACTATATTTCTGAAATATTTAACGGGCAAAAGCCTTCTATATTGGGTGAATATTACTGAATATAATGAGTATCAACTAACCAAAGCATTCATATTTAGAGAGAAAAGAAAAATTCATTTTTGGCAAAAGAAAATTCTCAGCTTTAGTCAGCTGCACTATCCTTACCACACTGAATCATAATGTATGCGTTTAACAAATGTTTATTGATATATACCATGTCTAAATTCAGTGCTCCAACAATAATGAAATGATAAAGTGGAATTTTTACAAAGGAAAATGGGGAGCAGAACATAACTACTTTTGGGTATGTATCTACGTATGTGGTAATTAAGGGGATACATTTTCTCATTTAATCCTCACATCATCCCTGTTTTGTAAATGGTAAGGCAGACTCAGAGAGGCTGGATAACTAGTCCAAGATCATCTAGTTAGAAAGTAAAAGAACTATATCCAGATCTATCAGACTAAAAGAACCACTTGCTGCTGTAGTAAGACAATTCAAATTTCTACAAAGACTCCAAACCAACCTAGAAAACATTTATGGTAAGAAAGTGAGAAAATAATAATGTTACTGGATTAAAACTCTTAAAATATGTCTGCATGTGGACAAACAGTAAAAGAAAATCACTGAGTAATTGCAATTTATAGTAACAGTTCAAAATTGTATATAATGCAGTAAGAAAAATAGAAAAAATTAGTTTCAATTGAATAAACAAATGTAAATGTCAATTTTGAATTTTTCACCATGTAAAATGAGCAGAAATGAGTGTGATATATGGTATGTTTGATACCGAAATTTAAGACTTTCAAGAAATGCTTTACTTTTTATTAATCTGAGCTTCTACAACCCAGGAAGCCAATTGTTTGGTTATCTTCAATACTCCACAAAAATGCTATCATTAAACATGACCTATGCAAATGTATAATTGAAACTAAAACTTGAAGTTTATACATTACAATTTAACAAAAGGCCACAGAAAGGTCATCGGATATAAACAATTACATAATTTTTGTATTTTCTTCATCATATTCAGTGACCATGTACTTTATCCTTTATATTTATGGCTTTCAACTCATTTCCTTAGTAAAGAATATCAAGTTCTGATTCACATCCATTAATACAAAAACTTGGTTGGTAGGAACATGAATTCCAGTGGTTTCTTGAAAGTCTTGGGTCTAATAGTGAAAAGAAACAAAACATCCAAGGAAACAAAAATTTGAAATACTTTATAACAGAAAAGTAATCTTACTAAACATTGAACTTAGTCACAATCTGCAGTCAGGTCGTCTGAGGAACGCTCTAAAATGCAAGAATGTAAAAAAATAGCAAGCTACCAATAATCCTATTTACAGGTCCATTTCTCTAGTTTTCTAAGATAGGCGTTGCCTAATAATTGGCTAGAAAACCTTACAAAACAATTCTTGGGTTTGTCAAATGACAACCAATAGTACAAAGTATTTGCACCTTTAAGAAACAACCCAGCATACTACAGGAAATTAGCACTTACTTGATAATCATTTCTCTTAATATTTGGAACATCCATGTTGTGAGTAGAAGGGCAAATATCTTCGTATTTTTTGCCCGTGAAAATATCAATTCCAACAAGGTGAACCTAAGGGAGAAAGAGAACAGGAGGCCTGTTTATCTCCACCAACTATATCATTCATTACACACACAAGAGTACAATACCAACGCTAATGATGACAGATTCTTTCTCCTCCTTCCAAGGTCATCTAATTTTACTTTCCTAAAAAAAAATGTGGTTACAGAATTAAAATGCAGTGAGTGAACAAAACACCATCATGATATGTCAAGACCCAAAATAATATACAGTCCAGTAACTCAATTACGAGTGTTATAAGAGTGCATAAGGAAAATAAAGTTAGGTGTCTTCGAATTGTTAGGTCAGGTTTTCTCTTCTGTCAACTGAATAGCTCTTCTACGTCGCTAGATTGAGGAAAGCCTCAGTTCCCAGTTAACGAAATACTACAAGGTCCCAAGAAGGAAATTCAAAGTGATAGGGAACCACCCAGTGATTGTGGGAAGAAAGAAAAACTGCCCATCACAAAATTTTAAGTATCCACAGCTCAAGGAACACAGTCAGTCAAAACCCCGATGCGACGCTGACGCCGATGCCGAAGACCGCCCGGGAGGGCACTCACCTTGGCATGGCCGTGCTTCCCAGTTTTGGACGTGGACATCTCCACTATTTTGCACGGCCGTCCTTTGAGCACCACGAATCCGTTTTTGCGCAGCGCCGAACACTGCATGGGGTAGGTGCTGGAAGCCCCTGCATCGCCCGTGGTGAAGTCGACTTCGTCCGCCATGGCGGGCCGGGGGCGCGATTTCTCCGTGGGAGCTGCGCAAAAAGTTTGGCGTTGGCTCTTCCGCGACAGGCACGCAGGCAGCACAGCCCTGGCTCCGGACAGGCTGCGGGCCAAGCTTCAAAGGCCTGCAGCCTCGCACGCCTAGCACCCCCGAGACGGCCGGCACGCTCGGAC